AAAGAATCGCTACGGAAGGTGTCTCAAGAACTTGCCAGTGGGAACTTGCTTGCCCACAAGGATAAGGGTGTCAGAGCATGGGCTACGTGCTGCATCGTTGATGTATTGCGACTATGCGCACCAGACGCGCCTTTTACGCGCAATCAACTGAAGGTGCGGCAATTGGAGAGACACAAAATATGTGTTCTGTCTATGCGATCAAAGAATGTACTGACTGAGACCAATTTAGGATATATTTACATGTATCGTGTCCTCGATCATCCCCGCTTTGGCCGACCCATCCAACGCCTACAATGCCCAGCATATCTACGTCCTGGGATCTCTCGCCGAGGTGAAGAGTGTGGTTTTGATGGTCGATCTTGATCACCCAGACTCACTCATTGTTCCGTTGTTCACGGGCTGCTTCGACATTGTTTCGGGCTCTTCGAAAGCATCCACCGGTGAGGAGGTGGCTAAGAATGTCGAGTTTGATATGACCCGGGTACTCGTCACCGTCATCGATGAATCGCTTGTCCTAGCCCCCGAGGTGGTGGACATTATCGTCGCCCAATTCCTCCGAGTCGACCCGCGAGTGATGGACACCTCCAATAAGAAGGGTAAGCGACCAGATGCGCCGCTCGACGCCAAGCAGGACACCCTTCTACTGAAGGACTACCCAGCCGCCTATAACATGGCCAAGGCTATCTGCCAGGCCTGCCCGGAACGAATGACCAGCCACATCAGCCAGTACTTCAACAATGTCATCATCGATGCGTCTGTGCCAGCTGGCCAAACGAATGGCTCTAAGCATGCCCGGAAACCCAATCTCGACGACTCCGATGAGGAGGGAGAGGATATTAAGGAGTTGAGCAAGGCACACCGCCTGATCAGGGAGCTTTGGCGTGCTTGTCCAGAGGTCCTGCAGAATGTTATCCCGCAGATTGAAGCAGAGCTCTCTGCAGAATCAGTGGCCTTACGTTTACTGGCGACCCAGACGATCGGAGACCTCGCGGCCGGAATCGGTGTTGCAGGTCCTCCACCCCCTCCTCCCATGGACCCGACAACTTACCCACCAGTGTCACTAGTGGATTATGACAAGACCATTCCCCAGCCCAATGTTTTGTTGACTCCCGTATCGCCCAAGCCTTTCTCTCAGGTCCACAACTCGGCCTATGAAGCCTTCTTGAGCCGTCGTCTTGACAAGACACCATCAGTCCGTGCTGCCTGGGTCACAGTTGTGGGGCGAATCCTGCTCACTTCAGCTGGAGGCTCTGGCCTACACGAAAGCGAAGAACACAATCTTGTCAGAAATCTGGCCTCGATGCTCCGCGACGTTGATGAGAAGGTTCGTGTGGCTGCAGTGGATACTGTTGGACAATTTGGGCTTTCCCAAATCGTCCACAAGCTAAGTGTGGATGGTGGATGTTCATCACCAGACTCGGTTCTTGCTATTCTTGCCGAGCGAGTAAAGGATCGCAAGCCGCATGTACGTGAACACGCCATGAAGATTTTGGCTCGCATGTGGGCAGTGGCTGCTGGTGACATCGAGCAAAATACGGAGCCCGTCGTATCCCTTCTCAAAGATGCACCATCCAAGATATTTGATGCATTTTACACCAATGATCAAGAAATCCATATTCTGATCGACCGCGTCTTGTTTGAGACGCTTCTGCCGCTTCCTTATCCCCCTATCAAATCGAAACTTACTCGAGGCAGCTCGAATCAATCACAGAAGCAGAAGGATAGTCAGACGTCTGAACCCGAGCAAGAGACGGATGTTGACAAGATTCGCGTTCGTCGAATTCTTACCCTACTCCGCGGGTTGGATGAAAAGGCGAGGCGAGTCTTTTTCGTTATGTTGGCCCGTCAATTGCAGATGAGATCGGCAGTGACGCTTTACATAGAGGCCTGTGAGAAGTACAATGGTGGTGTGGTCGACAAGGACGAAGAACAGATTAAGACACAATTGTCCAAGATCATTGAGTCATTATCCAAAACCTTCCCAGATGCGTCGCGCGCATCGGCAGACTTGTGGAAGTTCGCCAAGGTGCACGATCGACGAAGCTACCAGCTGGTTCGCTTCACCATGGCTGCTGTGAGTGATTATCGCACTGTTGTCAAGGCCACGAAGGAACTCCAGCGGCGGGTCCAGAGTGCAAACAACTCTCCCCTGCTGGAAACGTTGACTCCTCTTGTGTATCGCTGTGGGTCTTTGATCTTCAACCGAAGTCACATCCCGGCGATCATGAGTTTGTCCCGAACAGACGAGAACGGATTGGCCAATGCTGCACAGGAGATGTTGAAGCAAATCTCATCTCAAAATCCAGAAGTCCTAGAGGCACAGGTCCAAGAAATGTGCAAAGACCTCGAGGCCCAAGCCCCCAAGGCTTCCTCGGCTGGCGATGGTAGTGCTGAGGACATTTTGAAGGCTTGTGCTGGTTTCGCTAAAAAGCTCCCTGCTAAACTCCCCAAAGAGCGCAAGTTCTTCCAGGCTCTGTCCAACTACGCCCTTTACAGTTCATCACCGCATTCTGCAAAACATGCGGTCTCAATTCTCATGGCCACGGCTGACCGAAGAGAGATGTATGCGAAAGATTTGGTGCAGAAGTGCGTTGAGAAGTGGACATACGGATCTGATCGATTCCTCACTCGCCTGGCTGCTCTGTCGCAGCTGAACCTTCTTGCGCCGAGAGAAGCAGACGAAGAAAGCGATGCTATCATTTCAATTGCCATCAACCAAATCCTGCTCACCAATCGCAATCCCGAACCAGATTCTGAATACAACTGGTCGGAGACAGTTGATGATGAGACCAACGCTAAGGAATGGGCATTGAAAATCATTGTCAACCGCCTTCGGGCTAAAGACGGAGCAGACAATGAAGCTGACTTCCGTGCCCACGCAAAGCCTGTCTACGAAACATTGAATAAATTGGTGGTCGGTGAAGGCGAGATCTCTAAGAAGAAAGATACCCCTGCAGGCCAAAAATCGCGCCTTCGCCTCCTCGCTGCCAAGTCCGTGCTCAAGCTGTGTGCTTCCAGCACTGTCTGCGACGGTCTGCTGACGCCGTCCGATTTCAACGCAGTCGCTCTGGTTGCCCAAGATCCGCTCTTGCAGGTGCGAAGTGGATTCATCAACCACCTGAAGAAGAAGCTCGTGCAAAAGTCACATCTGAGCCACCGATGGTACATTGTCCCCTGTTTGCTTGCTTTCGAACCTGTTCATAGTCTGAAAGAGAGCACGCTCACATGGCTGCGGTCCCGAGCGGCATACTTCGCTCAACAGGCGCAAGCCAGTGGGAAACGGACGGAACAGACTATGGTCATGGAATTGATCTTTTCGCGTCTCCTGTCTTTGCTTGCCTACCACCCTGATTACCCGTCCGAGGATCTGGATGAGGCAACGAAACTCGGCGACCTGACCGACTTCTCTCAATATATCCTTTTCTACCTCTCCGCAGTTGCCAATGAACACAACATGTCATTGATTTTCCACGTCGGACAGCGCGTCAAGCAATTCCGCGATGGTATTACGAAATCAAACGAGATCTCTACCCGCCTCCACACTCTATCTGATCTAGCGCAAGCAACTATTCGCCGGTTCGCAGATGTCTACTCCCAACAGCACAAGTTTGGCGGTGCCGCCGGTGCAACCAACATCTTGCAAACCTACCCTGGAAAGATGGGCGTCCCCAGCTCCCTCTTCACCTCCATGAGCAGTCACCGCGAAGCCCAAGACGTCGCCGACAAGAACTTCCTTCCAGATGAGTTGGATGATTTGCTGGATCGCGTCGTCCGAATTGCAATGAAGCCCAGAAGTAGCTCTACCCACGGTTCGCAGGGCGGATCAAGCAAGAAGCGAAAACCCGAGTCTCTTGATGCGAACGGCAAAACCTCTGTGGCCAAAAAGGCACGCAAGGAAAAGTCTTCTCGTCCCGCCCGCAAGTCCACATCATCGAACAGTGCAGCCGCCAAGCCGAAACGGAAATCAAAGAACGACGACGGCTGGTCTTCCGACGGAGGCGCTGGAGCCGCGACCACTTCCTCTCGCCGGCGCAGCGTCCGAGGCACTGCGAAGCCGGAAGTCAGCTATATCGACAATGATAGCGATGATGCCGACATGGAGATGGTAGAGTGGGAGAAACCCAAAGAAAAAGACGCCGGCGATGATGACGCGGAGGAGGAAAGCGAGAACGAAGAAGTTCAAGAAACGGATGACGATCAAGAACTCGCCGAGGATGATGAGCCCGAGGCCAGCGAGAAGGAACCGACGCCACCTCCTACAAAGAAGCGAGGCGGAAAGGCCACTGCTGCGAAGAGCGACGCCAAGAAGCCAGAGGCAAAGAAGCCGTCGACAGCCAGCTTGCCTTCGCGACGCTCTTCCCGTCGTGGATAGAAACCTCTCCACGGCTACATGGGACATAATATGGCCGTCTAGCTGTGTCTTCGCATACGGGCCATGTTTCTCACTTCGTCCAAGACACGTCATTTATTTATGAGTCCTCAGCCAAGATCTCCAGGACATAAACGTCTGGTATCGATCTTAATGCTGTTCTCAGATTCAAATAAGTTGTGTGATTACTGCGTGGATCGTTCCCGTCGATATTCATATTCATATTCATATCCTGATTCCCATGTTATTATTTTCTTTATGGTTTCACAATTTCGTCCTCATGTGTTCTGTTTCGCAGTCAATGATGGTCCGAGATGTATACCCCATCTGCCTTTTTTTTTCCTACTTGAAGTTTGCATCGGTCTTGTGTCCGAGCTTTCACGAATGTCTGTCTCTTTGCGTATTCCCGTCAGATATATGCTTTCTATCTGTAAATGAATTGAACTTTGTTTCAAAATTACTTGTTTACATCCCAGTTGGGAGAAGTGTGGTTGGCGAAGTGACTTTGCATTGAAGGTTCCTTTGAGTACATTGGAGATATTATCGAAGCTGTGCGTAGAAAATTAACAAGTACGCCAAGGGTTAGGCCATATTCACAGCCGTAGTCGTGTACTCAAATCTATACCGGCTCTCAACTGATCCAGTCTGGTCCGGTCTTCCTCATGCATAGCAGGAATCGTCGCATTTCCAACCCTGGGGACGGGGCGTTGGTGTTATCCAAGAGCATCCGCACAATCTCCCATGTCGGAACTCGATAGCCCAGCTCAGCGTTCGCCCAAGCTGCATCCAAGAGAACCGCCGCCGAATGCCGTAGGTATTCGTGTAGAGGAAGACGGAGAGGAAGGCCGAGGGAAAGAGAGATGGATTCTATCGGGGAGATATTCAAACAGACCTCAGGCATTGCAACATATGGGAAGAAAGTTCTTTACAGATACTAATAGACAGACAGTTTTGGGTTTGATATCACTCCTACTAGGTCATTCCATAGAAAAAAAATAGAAATATTTACTAAAGCTCAAACGGTCTCTCAAACTGCTATTACACATCGTTCAGCGAAGCAAGAAAAACACAAACACCCCGGAGAAACATTGAGCGCCAACAGAAAGGATAAAGATAGATCGCTTGCGGCACTGAGTAACCAAAACCTATGCAAGACCGACACGAGTAGAATGGGAGAGACTTCGTGATTATGGAGAAGTGGGATGGATTGGATTGATCAAATGTGTAAGAAGAATATAAGCGATCTGAAAGAGAAGTGGAAGTAATCACACACGACGCCGTTGTCATCACTTCATGAACGAAATTGACTATGGCTGAGATCCACTGGCTGAAGAGGGAGAGGCATGTGCTCTAGGGACTGCGGCATTCCCGAGAGCTGGACTTGCGCTCGCGGGAATCCTTGGACTGGCACTCGCACTTCCGCTATCGGGGTTGGTACCACCGCCACCAGTCTTGGTGAGCCGCTCTTCGACCCGCTCCTTGTGCTGCCGGTTGCGGAGATGCACTTCAAAGTTGTCCACCGTCATGCCCGGGCCGGGGGTGTACAGCTTTCCGGGGCAGTCGTGGCAACGAATACGGGGGAGGTATTGGTATTTGATATTTTGGCCAGCTTGGAGGTTGTTGGGATTCGCCACGGGGGCCAGGGTTTCAGTATCGACGGCGGAATAACGCATCACACCTTCGAAGGAGTCGTTGGGGTGAGATTGTTTCAACTTGCTGAGACCGGCTGCCAGCCAGTTGGGTGGTGGGGGCTGCATAGACACAGGGTCAGCCATGGGCCAAAAACTGGGGTTAAAATCTACTCACGCCAGAGACACCAGGCTGCGGAGGGTTCGGTGCATCAACAGCACCGGTTTGTTGGGGTCGCGGGGGAGGATGAAGTCGGGACTGTTTATCGGACGGAGGCGCCATCGTGCGTGATGCCTGTCCGGCGATAGATTGGACGGAGACAATGCGCCTTCCGTTCCTCAGATCGACCAGCTTGTCACGCGAAATCTTGAGTCTCACTATCAACTTATCAGAGTCCTCCACACTCTCTTCTCGGTATTGCTGTCTTCGGGCCGAGATTCGGGGCTCGTGGTACACTGGTTCAGGGGTTGCAGATTGTCCAAGGCTGGCGCGAAGCGCCGCATGGGCTGCAGATGCCGCGCCTCTCATGCCTCTAGTACGAGCAGTGCCCTGTGCGAGGTTGGGCCCAATGGCAGGAGAGCCAACAGAGGAGTCGTCACTATCAAACTCGTCTGAATCATCATCGCCCCGATGTCCAGTCATTCCACGACGACGGCTGGAACCGGTGCGCTTGATCACATTACTTTCATCCAGGGAGCCCACTGAGTTGGGTATCACGGATGAAACAATCATGGTACGAATCGTGCGCTGACGGTCCTTGAGATCTGGCAAAGCAGGGCCACCGCGGCGGTTAATTGACCGTTTCTGTCGACGTTGCTCTCGAGATATTGAGATTTCGGTACGTTCAAGATCTGCCTCATTCAGCTCATAAAGATAGGGTGTATGCTCTTTGGCGGATTGGTATGGTCGGAAGGCGGAAGCCACAGGGGTGGGGAGGAATGAGGTGTGGAGGTCTGGGTCCTCGATTGGACGGCCATCGAATGGGTGAGCGACAATGTACAAGGATTTGGTGAAGAGTTGGGACTGTTCGCGGATTGAATGGGCGATGGCGGTAGTGAATTCACCAGAGAGGGATAAATCATCCGTCATGCATAATGCGAATTCTTCGGGAGAATTATTGGGATCATTGATATCCCACTCGAACTGGTCGATGAGGGTGTGTTGACCAATGGTGATGTTGAGCTTGACCGAAATGCGCATCTCGTCGTTTTTGTACGCGGTGTAGGGTAATTGGGGATCAAGAGGGTCTTCGTGTATGTTAAGATGCGGGTAATAGTCTATCACCTGCTCCTGGATGCTCTGGGAGATCATTCTGGTCAAAGGGACCGAGCTCTCTACTGCGAGACCCATGTCTTCGACCAGCTTCTCCGCAAACAAGTCCGGAGACACAACACGATCATGAAGGTTCCACGTGAAAGTATCGCGGATCTTGACTTTTTCCCAATCAATGTCCAAGCGGATAGGGACCAAATCCTCCATCTGTTCGTTCTGCGTCTTTGCGTCACGTCGTGAAATGCGTAGTTCTCGCGTCTTTCTATTTCCGGGTCGACGTCGATGAGTCGGGTAGAGAAGTTGAGGATGTTGATTGCGAAGGTCGGTACGAGGGTTTCCAAATCCCTCATAGCCCACACCATACAATGCAGCTGGATTTAACTGGTTTTCGCGTCGTACTCCCAAATAGAAGTCTCGTTCCGCTCGCTTATTCTTTTGTAATTCCTGACTTGGATTTTGCCAGGCAGCTGCGGCCGAGTGCTGGAATTCGCGATCAACGTACTGCTCCAGGAGAATCTTATCCAGTGGCGTTTCGCGGGCGCGAACGGCCATGGCCCCGGAGACCTCTGTGGATTGAACAGCGAATCCGTCACGAGATCTCTTTCTTGCGGAACCATGCGTCCCATTTGAACGGGGCGTGCCATTGGAAACATCACTGCCGGGTTCCGACGAGGCTGACACCCCGGAAGCAGCTAGCATAGCCTTTGCACTTTGCTTTCCCTCTGCAATTGTATCTGGCGTATGACCATTTGTTGATCGGCTTGTACCAAGGTCGATGCTGTCTGGACCTTGCTCCCCTGTGTCCGACGCGCCAGAGCTGTTCTGGGCACCCGACTGAGGGTCCCCGAATGATTGCTCTGAGGGCAGCGAGCCACCCGTCACTTCAGGGGATGGCATTGTGTATGGTCTATTGAATGCGAAACGAACGTCTGATGCCACTCGTGTAATCTTCGAAGCTCGGAGTGGCTCTCAACGCGACAGGGATAGGTTCGGGTCGGTTACCGTAGCATTATGGGATGGAACCTGTCCATGCGATCAAATCATGATTAGCAGGTGTTTTCAGATAGTAGACTACCTATCCATCACCGTTGCGACTGTGCATCCAATGTCACCTGGGGGTAGATGAGCTGGATGGATGGACGTGTCGCAAAGGGCGCATGTCCCGAACACGCCACAAGTCACCAGTTAAGGGTGTGCAACGGATTGAATGGGACAGCATATGGAAATTATGGATAGGAAAACCAAATGGGAAGAAATCGAACATACCAGGGCCGAAGGGGGAGAGAGCTCTTGCCGATGTTCCTTGAATGGACCAGTCGGGAGTTCCAGCGCAGAATCCGCTCCGGATCGGTTGGGGCCAAGTCAGCTGACCTTCTTCGTCAATCGATTACGATGATCCCAATCGACTTGATTTCTTCCCTGGGAGATTCTTTTAAACTGGGGGAGCTGTGGCAGTTGTGTGTTTTTTTTAAGCCGGGGTGATGGTGAAAGAGGCAAAGGAGAAGAGGGAGAGTACCCGTTACAAGTGTCCGCACCCGTCTAAGATCGTAAAGCAAAGAAACGCGCCATTCACTTTCTATACCCAACAACCATAAAAGAATTATAGATTAAAGTATAAGACTACTTTTAAGATATTTTGAGGTTATTCCCCAATGCCCTCTATGGGCTCCAGGCCAACCTATGACCCCGTTTACCAATTTTACACACTGTCATGTGATTCACGTGTGTGTTACATAATATAACCTCGGAACCTCCAGGGTACTCTTGGCATATTCATGGTCTAACATTGATCTACAAAGTACTAGTTATGTAACTATCGGCCATAAAGTGTTAAGTCCACAATAACAGCACGGTGATCCGAGCTGAAAACACCGTCGTCGAACCGATTCCCTAGCACTGCATAGCCAATGACCACCAAAGTCTGGCCTTGAGTCCCGGCGGGTCTCACCAGAACATAGTCAATACGCGATGCTGGCTCATCCTCGTACCCAAATCCAGTCCAAGTAATGTGGTTACCATACCGCCTCGAGCTTTCAACGTTCTTGTATGCATCAAGCAAGCTTTTCGTCAACTCTTGGTAAGCTTCCTGGTTCTCTTCGCTGTTGAAATCGCCGGCCAAGAAAGTGCCCGAGATGAGCTTTGCGAATTTGTTCTGGCTATATTCAGAAATCTTCCCGAGAATGATGCGTGCAGCCTCGAGACGAGATTGAGATCCCTGGTCGTCAAGATGGGTGTTCATGGCAAGGACTGTATTCCGACTAGCTCGATGAGTGAAGACACCAATGGTGACAATGCGGATGGAGGCTGCGTCCCAACTCTTGGACGGTGTTTCCGGTGTCTTGGACAGCCACACTGTCTCCCAGTGTAGTAGCTCCCAGACAGCTGGTCTGTAGATGATAGGAGAGTATTCCCCAGCCTCGTGGCCATCATCTCTACCAACGCCGATATACTCCCATTCTGGTGTTCCGGGCTCTGCGCCCTGATTCAATCCAGCCAGAATATCACCAAGTTGATTGTGGAGGACTTCTTGTAGGCAGACGAAGGTTTCTCCGCAATGACGAGTCTCATATTCAAATTCATTTAACAGCAATTGTTTGCGTTCAGCCCAGGGCTGTTCGCCTTTGAAGGGAGATGAGGTTGCATATCGGATATTGTGTGTCAAAACCCGGATGGGAATTTTTGTAGACCTCATAGTGTGGAATACAGAAAACTAGGAGATCAAACTACAAACAATAGGGTAGGTATATCCATGGATATGGAGCTATGTTGTATGTCATGGATTTACAACAAGTGAGGGGAATGTTGCAGTGCCTCAGGTTAGCACTGTGCCCAAGGCAGGCCACAGTAACAGGGCCCACCTTCAGTCACAATCCTGGAGGCTACATATGTACTATATACCGATGTAGTTATGTCACAGGGTATTTTTTATACCTCCCAGGGATGTATAAAGAGGGGAAATACCGGTCAGGTGAGGAGAAGTTACGGGGGGATTGGAGTAGA